CAAAACCCCAAAACCCCAAAACCCCAAAACCCCAAAACCCCAAAACCCCATTGAATGAATTGGAGTTGCATTTTCTTAAATTATAAATTTATTGATTGACTTTAGCATTTAAAGTATATATTAAAAATGAGATCAATAACTTTTGGTCCAACCAGCTATTTTGAGTCGAGTCTCAACAGAAATGAAGATGAAAATGAAGAGGATATCCAAAATAATTAGCATACTTCATAAGAAAGGATCTAATCGTAGGGTCATGTTAGTTCCTCCTCTCAGACAACACAAAGATCTAACGAGGTAGTGTTTTATTCATGTGACAATCTAATAAGAGAAAGTTTGGTTGGTAATAAGGAACTAGCTATGAAAAAGAACTGTAAATGTAGATTCACACTAGATACTAGCAGGACATTTCAAAGTTATTGTTATGAGTTTTGTGGACTACTCAATATTTAGCTTACAGATATAAAGTTCTTCATAAAAAATTGAGAAGTACCAATGCTAAGATAGATTAGAAAGCCCTGCACTATAGAGGTGTATCATCATGGCTAGCCTTAGAAACAAGACACTAATTCATTGAAACTGGCATACTCAGAAATGCTAGAGAAAGGTACGTTTTCAGATATAGAAATAATAATGAATGGAGTTGAGATAAAAGCTCATAAATGCATTTTGATTGCTAGGAGTGAAAAATTTAAGGTTATGTTATCAAACTAGATGAAAGAGACCATTGAAAGTAAAATAGAAATAAAAAACGACGAGATAAGTCCAGAGGTCTATAAACTTTTGATTCAATGGATTTATGTTGGAGAATGTGAACTTCCTGAGCAAGTATAAGAATTAATATAACTGCTGAAACTGACTGATGAATATCTGCTCCCTGATTTGTAGAAAGTATGTGAAGAGTAAATAGTAGACCATATGGATTGCTAAAGTGCGGTAGACATCCTCACAAATACTTAGATGGTTTTTCCTGAAGTATGTGATGCTCCCATTAGAGATGCAGCTAAGACAGTGTTATTGGATGACTATGATAAGATAGAGGAAATTTATCCTGATATTGAGGAGAGAATTTCTAAAGTGAAGGGTTTAATGTCAGAAATATTTTAACATAAAAGAAAGCGAAAGACATCCCATCGAAAAAGGAAAGGATCAGTTCTGGGTGAAGACTCTCATAAAAAGAAGGTGAGATTCAACATATCAAACACTATATATGAAGAGGCTTCGGCTATCCATGATGAAAGTGACTCGCTAATAGAACCTCTGAGTATTTATAGCAACAGCTCTCCCCCAGGAGAATTAAACGATGATATCATGGTCAGCTCTACTCATTCTAGTCTTCATGCTCTAAGTTACGAAAGAAGACACAGCGGCTCACATGCTAACTCTTAGTAATTAAGTTCTTTGATCACAGGGTCAAATCATGCCCATCGTAATCGTCCTCACATTGGTAATCTCAGCTCAGAGTAAAGAAGGTCTCATGAAATAAGCAATGAAGTTTAGATGCCTACTAGGGTAGTGATGTCTCCAACATCTACAAGAGGTTTAAGGCCTGGGAGTGCTGGAAGAAATGATAATAATAATCTTTAAACATTTAGGAGCAATTCAACAACTGTCCTGATGAACAATGATACAGATAATCAAACTAATTAGCCTCAACGAACTTAGACACAGTAGAGTCTGTTTGGAAGAAACAATAGTGATCGCTTTAACTCTTTAATCTGACTCATACTATTTTTCCTATTATGATTTAATAATTATTTCAAACTATCTATTTCGAATTTAAATATTTAATTTCTTTTAAATTGATAAGTTATTATTATCATTATTAATCAAAGTTGACTAGGAAAATATATGTCCTTAAAGCAATAGAAAAACATGATCTAGGGATCATATCTCTAGGAAGTTAAGAGATTCGTCTCCTATTACCCTATATGTTTATATGTAATATTATATTGATTGACCATTCTTAGTACTAAAAGTAAATTCCAGATGAATAGAGAGTAATGAAAGATAAACTTAACCAAGTCTATTAAGAATTGCTGCTCAATCATCATTAGTCTGAAAACTAATCACACCTATTGAACCTCATTAATGCACTTCTTGAAAACATTAAAAACCCAGCATTGCTAGGGTCTTTGTGGAAGGCTACACTCAAGACTCTAATTAAGATCCTAGGGTACTAAGAGGTTGTTGATAAGTTGATTAAGGCTCCAGAATTCGATACTTAATAGCTGATCAATACACTTATGACTGCTTAATTTGAAACCATTGATGTCTAAGAGGAAGAATAAATGCTAATACTTATTCAAAAGGCATTTTTGAGAATCGTGATATCTCTTCAAATGAGTGAAGACTACTAATACAAGATTTTCAAATACTTCATGAAGATTCTTAAGAAAAAGAGCATTGAGGATTCTGATTAAACTTACTCTATGCAATTCGCTGATGTAACAAAAAAGAATTTACATAAAGTTTTGTATCACTTCATGGCCGAAGATGAGGAGCATCAGGTCAAGTACAAAGTAATGAACTATTATTTTGCAAAAATCAAGAAAACTTTGACAAAAATACAATAAAAGCCTATTTCAGGTGGAAATAAGCTTAGAGAGTATGCTTGCTTTTCTATCAAGACTTTGGAGGATTGCTTGAATAGAATTAGCACTTAAGAGGAGCTTACCAATATAATCGTAACGCTGAAAGACAAGATAATAGAGACTCTTTGTATCTGTGGAGAATTTGATGATATTATGATTAGAAATTAGGCCTAGTAAGCATTTACTTTAGTGTTAAAAGTCATTGTTGAAAACAAAATTCCTTTGAGAGAGGAGCTAGAACTACTTCTTATAAAAGTAGCTCTGAAGCCATGTATATAGTTGGCCAAAAAGTTAGTTCCTAATGATCTCACTAGAAGTAGTTCTGCTACTAGCGAAAGTAAACCCATAAAAGAAAATTGCTCTGATGATGAAAATGAAGACTTCATTTAGATAAACCCTGAGAGATCTGTTTAAGATGATCTTTTACTTGAAATGAATGTGAACTTTTTGATTGAAACAATACTTCTTCTTAGACCTGAGTAAATAGCTTCACTATACCTCATGTATGATTGCCAACCATTCAGCGAAAACTTCATAACTAAATCACTCTTGATGATCTTTAAGGTAGCCTAGAAAGATTCCGCTAAATATTTGAGCTTCTATCAATTGCTAGTTAAAAAGTTGTCCTAGCTTAAAATTAATCCTTAATTAGTTGGAGATCTATAAAACTCTGGTCCTTAATCAATAAGCTTTATGCTTGAATAAAAATCTACAGTTAAGAAACTTGTGAAAGATGCCAATCTTAAATTTAAGCTATTTATGTAGAAAACAGAAGAAATGTATGCATATGCTGATGACTAAGTTTAAGCAGAGGTGCAATCTAAAATTTTGCTTTTCTCAAGAGAAATTTTAATTGAAAAAGTAGCTGAGATTATTGGAGGGAAAGAAGAAAAATACAAGGTAAGCATTATTTTCAATTAAATATATGTAGAAATTACTGAGTTCTTACTTGGATAAGATGGACTACAAAGAGAGTGATATAGATGAGTCATTGAGAAAGTTCTTGTAAACATTCAGATTAGCAGGTGTTGACTCATAAGTTGTGCTCAGAATATTGGAGTAATTCTCTCATAGATTTTTTGAAAACGATAAAAAAGGTATTTTCTTCAGCAAAGGAGAAGCCTATGAATTCGCTTATTTAATCATAGTTCTGCAAACATGCCAGCATAATCCATCAGTCAAATAAAAAACAGACATTAAAGCCTTTATTGAATCAGCTGATTTAGCCTGTCCTAAATCCAAAGATAAGTTTGATCCTGCATTTATAGATTACATCTACAACTCTGTTACTAATAATGCATTCTACACTCCGAATTCTAGGTCTTTGATTGACGAAAATTTCAATCAATATAATCTCAACGAAATTCAGATCAGACTGAGCAAGTGCAACTCTCTGGATTAAAAAATAAGCGAAAATGAGTTCATAAATTCTGCTGATCTAGCTTAAAAACAAATTTTCAACTACTCAAATTCTACAGAAGTACCTCAGAATTTGATTTTGCTTGGTGTTAAGCACTTAGTCTTTTATCTCACTTAAAAGTTCGTAAAATACAACTTAGTTACTAATGCCTCTACTATTACACAAGATACCAAAGAAGCCACAATCAAAAAGTTTGATATACTAGAAAACCTAGCTTAGATTAATAAAACTTTCAAAAACTATGATAGCGTAGATAGAATATTCCAAGTTATATACAAAGTAATCCATCACACACAAAATGAACAGCTTTATTCCAGATTGGATGATTTACTGTGGGGTAACTTTGACTGTATAAAGAGATCACTAGTTTTATTGCCAAAGCTTTCGATGCAATCATTTATGAGGGACCAAATAAAGGATTCTCTTTAGTAATCATTTACATCTGTAATGAGACTTCTCTAATATCATCACTAAGAAAAGAGAAAATAAAAATAAGCGAAGCTGAATCATCATGAAAAAAATGCACCTCAAAAAGCAGCTTCATTCTTTGACCTCGTATATAATTACTTTACGGATAATAATGAGGATTAATCGCTAGATGATAAAAATGATCAAGCAGAGATAGATGCTGTTGTATCTATCAGGAAAAAGATATTAATGGAAGACAAGGAGGGTGATTATATGGAGTAAATTGAGGAAAAATTTGACGACAAGACTGGATAATAAAGAGTAAAAGAAAAGACAAGGATATAAGAGTTGATCACTTTAGTATGCGCATGCATTAGAGAAAATCTAAATCAAGAAGAGGGAATATTATGCCTTGCCTTTTTAGAGCACCTTATTGCCCAATCAGATCAAAATCTTGAAACTTAGGAAAAGATATGGGTAGAATTGCATTTGCTATTAAACATGTGCTTGAAAAATAAGCCATTGGATTTACTGTCTGTTTCAAGTGTCTCTTCATTAAAAGAGGAAAGAAAGCAAGAATATGAAGTAATTTCTACAAACACCTCTTAAGATTCTATTGATTCTAGTTCAGCCTAAAATGATCTGGACTTCTTTGTTAAAGAATCATGCCAGATTAAGACTAAAATTAATGAGACTATCACTCGTCACTTGATTCTTGCTCTACATTTGAAATCAAGCAAAAAATTGATTGATATGAAACAAGATAATTAGCACATCATTAGAGATGCTTAGAGACTTATAAGTTTTATAATTGAAAGTGACCTTTAAGACAAGACTCTAGAAAATATGGGTACTTTTGACGATATGTTCTTGTTTAATTAGCTCCATATATTCTCTAAAGATTCTATGTCATTTAAGAAATATCAAAAGTAAGTTCTTAGATTTCTTAATATAAACTTATAGGTTGTCTAAATTAATTAGACTAAAACTCATCTTGCTTTTAAGAAGTGTAACTAAAAAGCTGGATGACGATTAAGAGAGTCATAAATTGAGCTTGAAGAAATTTGCCTACTTTAACACAGTCTCATAATTACTTGGAGAATTCTCTTCTTAATTGCCATATGACTAAATCTAACTAGCTATTGAGATTTTCGAAAAATTGCATGTTCCAAACACAAAATCATAGCATACTCAACAACTTTTAGAAAATGCAATTTAGGTCATCGATAATCTAGGACTTGCTCTTCAAAGGCAAATTCTCATCAATGAAGAAAATAAACTTGAGATCTGGTTCAAACTCATCTAAACTCTTTAAGAAAAGATACTTTACAATCAAGTTACAAAAAGACATGAAATTGTTGCTATTCAAGGATTTAATGTTGTCAAGAATCTCGTTCTTAATCATCCATTCGATATTGATACTAAGAATTTCACTTACATTCGTAGACTCTTTGCTGATATCTTATTCTGGTAGACTTTTGAAAATCTTAGTTAAGAAATACCCCCATCAAATGCGATAGGCTCTTAATCCAGCAAAGCAATTGAGGAAGTTAAAAAGTAATCATCAACTGCTGTCGCGCTTAATAATGATGACTCAGATGAAGAATTTGATGAGAATATTGAATCCCAACTAGAGGCTACTTGCTAATTCTGCGTAAACAATCTATCAGATATTTTCATCTACTATATCTCAATAATCTTCAGAGACCCATTAGTTGCACATTAGCCTGACAGAGCTAACTCAGAAAACCCTGATGAATCTTCATAGAAACTCTTCTCTTATCTTTGGTTGAACTTATTAAAAGTGCTTCTGCACTACGGTGAAAAATCTCACACTAAGGATTTCTAAGGACTTATTCATAGTATCCATGATAATATAAAAAGAGTAATAGAGTTCCTTATATAGTAAGGCATTTTGAGGGACGACTCTCCAAACTAGGATATGCAAAAATTATGGAAAACCTCTTGGGAAATTATTGGTGCATTCTTCGTTGACATGAAAATTCAAGTTCTTGGACCTAACTACAAGGAAAACATTTGAATTATTGCTATTCATGAGTGATTGTGCATCAGAAAGAGGGTGAAATGATATAATATAACTAAATAAACAATTATTTGATTTCATTATAACATATCAATAAACTGATTTCAAACTTATTTCAATCAATGGGGTTTTGGGGTTTTGGGGTTTTGGGG